TTGAGGTCGCCCCCCAACCACACAAGTCCCCCTCGGGGCACCGGAAACGAGCCAAAGGGGGGGCTCCGGCCTGGTCCCGCGCCCCCCACAGCTGACGCCCTGAGACAGGAGCGTACGGAGACGCCAAGGAGACACTGCCCGCGCAAAAGGGCCACTCCGGACCCAGAGGGGATCACCCGGGAACTCGGGACTCACCGGACCGAGGAGGCTAGGCACGCGCCGCCGCCGGCTCCGCCTCCGAGAACTGACCAATCAGCTGCCCCCGCAGGGCTTGGACCCACCTATTGGTCCCCCAACGAGGCATGGGGGCCTATAAGGCCACGCTTTCCGAGTTCCGGCTCCGCCCATCGTGGTGCATGCCGGGACTTGGGGGGAGTCGATGCCACACACAGCTTAGGCCCTCAGTGTCTGGTGCTTTTCTGGTGGCCGAGGGCGGGGCTTCCGGTTTCAGGACCGCGGCTTTAGACCCGCCCCCCGCCCTGGCTTCGGGATGGTTTTGGCGGCGTCTCGTCCCTGCCGTCCTGGGGCTCTCCGGGGCTCTCCGGGGCTCCCGGACCCCGTCATTCCTGCGTTCTGACTCCTCGTGGTTCCTTTCGCCAGTAGGAGGAGCCACGCCCGTCGGTCAGGACCGTGCGTCCCGTCTCGGTCCCGCAGGCCGCGCCCCCCATCCCGGGCCGGCTTCTCCCACGCTGCCCTCCCCCCCCTGCCCGGACGCACCCCACGCTTGGGGCCAGCGGACTCCGGTCAGCTCCAGCCGCACGCCGCGTCCTCCGGCTGTGGGCCTGGGCCGCGATGCCACCCCGGGCGCCGCGCCCCTCGCCGGGGGCGGGGATGGCGGCAGGGATGGCGGCGTGAGGTGTGCGTGGAGGCCGCCGGACCCCGGGAGTCAGGTCTCAGCCAGTTCCCGCGCGGCCTCTGCTGACTAGAACCGAGATGGAACGTCAAAACGTGAATAGCTGTTGGGTTGAATGCCTACACTGAGCCAGAATCTTGGCTCAGTTAACCTTCAGATAGCAGGAGTTATTTCTTCCTGTTATTATGTTCAGATTACAGTATTATATGAGTAAGGTATAAGTTATATTCCGAAAAAAGGAAGCTCGGTAAAGTAACTTGGCCAAAGGTACACAAATCTTTGAGTCCGATGTTTGAATTTGCTCAGTGTTTAGAGAGTAAATTATTAGTAATAATAGCAAATTATTTTTATAGAACAGATAAACAGGAATTAGTTAAGAGACCAGAAAAACCAGAAATGGCCCTGTGGCCCAAAGTGATATTGCATTAGCCTTGAGGGAAAGTACTCAGGGACAACATTCAGGTTCTGAGTTCAAGCCCCACGACGGACCAAAACAAAGTTGGGTAAATGGAAGTGTGGCTCAAATAGTAGAGCACTAGCCTTGAGTGAAAAAGCTAAGAGAGTGTGAGGCTCTGAGTTCAAGCCCCAACTCCATTACTGACATGCTCATTGCTTCGGCAGGAAGCAACATCTTAACCAGCAAAAAGCAAAAAAACAGCTGGAGGGTGCCTGTCATCCCAGTTACTGAGGATGCTGGGAGTGTAGCTTAGCGTTAGAGTGCTTGCCTAGCATGCACCAAGCCCTGGGTTTGATTCCTCAGCACCACATAAACAGAAAAAGCCGGAAGTAAGGGGGGCGGTGGCTCACGCCTGTGATCCTAGCTAACTCAGGCTGAGATCTGAAGCTCAGGGTTCAAAGCCAGCCGGAGCAGGAAAGTCCAAAGACTCATCTCCAATAAACCACTGGAAAACCGGAAGTGGTGCTGTGAATCAAGTGGTAGTGGTAGAGTGCCAGCCCTTGAGCTAAAGAGCTCAGGGACAGCGCCCAGGCCCAGAGTTCAAGCCCCACGACCACCAACAACAAAAATACATGCCAGGCACAGGTGTATCACTCTTGTAATCCTAGGTACTCTGGAGCCTGAGATCTGAAGATTGCCATTCAAAGCCAGCTCCGAGCAATCCCCATGTGACTCATATCCAATTAACCACTCAAAAAACTAGAAGTAGAGCTGTGGTTCAATTGGTAGAGGGCTAGCCTTGAGCACAGTGCCCATGCCCTGAGTTCAAGCCCCATAGCTGACCAAAAAAAAAAAAAAAAAATGGGATTCCTGAATTTGCATTCCTTTGGAGATGTTATGAAGCTGTAAACTTAGCTTTCCCATTTCCACCGAAAAGTCATGAGTCCTTGAGATCTACTTATGAAAAGCATTTCAGGGAGTTTCACAAGGTGAAAGTTTAAGGAAAATTTTATTCTATAAAGAAAAATAGGAAAGACATTTCCTGTTCCCAGGAAATAAAGACAAAATGGCAGTAACCATCTGTACTTTTTCTTTCAAAGTTTTAAAAGCGACACTTACTAATTGAAAATAAATGTGTTAATATGCTCTGGACAGCAGTGAGTTCATGTTTTTAGTGAGTTGAAGTACATGAAAATGTCTTAGATCTGTTATTGATTTGCTTATAATCACTACCAAATTCAGATGGGGGGAGGGGTTTTGGGACTTGAACTCAGGGCCTGGGTGCTGTCCTTCAGTTTTTTTGTTTTGTTTTTGTCGGTAGTGAGTTTGGGTGCTGTCCCTCAGCACTTCAGCTCAAGATGAGTGCTCTATCATTTGAGCCACAGTGCCACTTCAGGTTTTCTAGTGGTTAATTGGAGATTAGAATCTCATGGACGTTCCTGCCCAGGCTAACTTTGAACCTCAGACCTCAGATCTCAGCCTCCTGAGTAGCTAAGATTATAGGCATGAATCACCAGCACTGGCTGGCGAATACACTTTTGAACTGGGTAAATACACAAGGTCTAGATATCTAGCAACCACTGATCCTTATTGCTCTGAGTGGGTAAGAAGGGCAGAATCCCAGGTGGTAACCTTCAGCACTTCCTTTTGTCAGTTATATTTTTCATTGTTTTGGTCTTTACCCACCCAATAGTTTATCTCAAAGGATAAAACAGATTTACATGATCCACTACTGATTTTTTAAATTTTTTTTTTTTTTTGGGTCCGGTCGTGGGGCCTGAACTCTGGGCCTGGGCGCTGTCCCTCAGCTCTTCAGTTCAAAGCTAGCACTCTACCACCTGAGCCACAGCGCCACTTCTAGCTTTCTGCTTATGTGGTACTGAGGAATAGAACCCAGGACCTCATGCATGCGAGGCAAGCACTCTACCACTGAACCACCTTCCCCGTCTTTTTTTTTTTTTTGGTTGGTCGTGGGGCTTGAATTCTGGGCCTGGGCGCTGTCCCTCAGCTCTTCAGCTCAAGGCGAGCGCTCTACCACTTGAGCTACAGAGCCACTTCCGGTTTTCTGGTGGTTTATTGGAGATAGGAGTCTCACAGTCTCTCCTGCCCAGGCTGGCTTTGAACCAAGATTTTCAGATCTCAGCCTCCTGAGTAGCTAGGATTACAGGCGTGAGCCACCAGCGCCCGGCTTTTTGGTCAGTTGTGGGGATTGAACTCAGAGCCTGGGTGCTGTCCCTGATCTCTTTTGCTCAAGGCTAGTGCGCTACAACTTTGAGCCACAGCTCCACTTCTGTTTTTTATTTTGTTTTTTGGTTGGTCATGGGGCTTGAACTCTGGGCTAGGGCACTGTTCCTACTCTTCAGCTCAAGACGAGTGCTTAACCGCTTGAGCCAATAGCGGCCACTTCCGGTTTTCTAGTTTATTGGAGTTAAGTCTCATGGACTTTCCTGTCCAGGCTGGCTTTGAACGGAGATCCTCAGATCTCAGCCTCCTGAGTAACTAGGATTACAAGCATGAGTCACCAGTGCCCAGCCACTTCTGGTTTTTGAGTGGTTAACTAGAGACGTCTCAGGGGGACTTTTCTTCCCAGGCTGGCTTTGAACTGTGATCCTCAGATCTCAGCCTCCTGAGTAGCTAGGATTACAAGTGTGAGCCAACAACGCCTGGCTCTTTTTCTTTCAAATGGTAGTGAGCATGCCCAGGATTGAATAGGGCTCTGAACATGCTAAGCACAAGCTGCATCACTAAGCTACATTTCCAGGTCTCTCAATGGCTTGTAAGAACATCTGTTTTTAGAAACCTCCTGGGCCACTTCTAACCACTAGATGGCCAAGCTACAGGGTGATTATTTCCTTAGGCAAGCAAATACTTCAGTCCTCTTAATATGGTATTTCCTGGGGCTAGAGTATCAACAGGAAATCCTGTGGAGAACTCAGCCGAAACATTCATTCCCAGAAAAGGTTGGAACAGTGACAAATCTGCCCAGCCTTGTACAACATCCTGTAGGCTCCATGTGAGGCCCCAGTTGTAGACCTACCTCACTCAGGTTATTCCTCTCAGCTCCCAAGCTAGAACCTGCACCTACAGAACTATGTGAGATCAGTTAGAGCCTGGTGCTAGTGGCTCACACTTGTAAACCCAGTTACTAAGTTCTGAGGATGGCAGTTCAAAGCCTGGCTGGGCAGGACCAAGTCTAAGACTTATCTCCAATGAACCAACAAAAAGCTGAATATAGTGGTGTGACTCAAGTGGTAAAATGCCACCTTGGGTGAAAAAGCTAAGGGACAGCAGCCAAGCTTGCATGCACAGATAATATTAAAACAAAACACAGACACACACACACACACACACACACACACACCAAAACGCACTTGCAGAGACTATGGCCATTTATTGATATTGGGGGGAAATAACATTGCTTCTTAAGAGGGAGAGGACCTTGAATATTAAACTCCCCACTTGTTTTATAGAAACTTAAGCCCAAACTCTCCAGTTGTTCATAGCTAAATCTCAGATGGGAGTAAGTGTCCAATTAAATAAACCGAACCCCAAACAGTCCTGATTCAAAACGACAAAGGAGGGGGAGCAGGGGCTTTTTACACCATTTTGGCCCCAAGAAGTTAAAAAAAAAATCCACTTTGCAGTACAAACTGTTTCCCAGTGTGTCCCAAAGATGGTCATTTAAATCTAGTTGTCCAAGTTCTAAGAAAATCTCATGGATAACAGAGACGATATTCCCTACCCCCAAGTACTCAGGAGCTGCAATTCACTAATACTCTCTCAGCGGCTCTCCTCTCGGTTCCCCATTTACCAATGGGTCCACGGTCGGTGAACGCTTTCGAGGACTCAGTTTCTGCCCTCAATTTCCCCATCTGTCAGAGGCAGCTGTGGCGAAGGAGGGCCCACGACCGGTGAACACACACTCGTGGAGGGCAGACTCAGCGCGTCCGGCCTCAGTTCCATCAACAGTAGTTATGGCAAGAGAAAGGTCCTACGCTCAACAGTCTTGCGGAGGACAGACTCAGCGTCTCTGGCCTCAGTTTACCCATTTGTCAAAGGCAGCTGAGGCGAGGGGGAGGCCTCACCATCAGTCAACACACTCTCGGGGAGGGCAGACTCAGCATCTCCGGCCTCGGTTTCCCCCACGTCAGAGGCAGCTGTGGTGAGGGGAGGCCCCACGATCGGTGAACACACCCTTGGAGAGCGGCAGACTCAGCGTCTCTGGCCTCAGTTTACCCATCTGTCAGAGGCGGCTGTGGGCAGGGGAGGGGAACCGAGGAAGGTCGGAGCGGGGAGACCCACTAGGCGTCCAGATCGAAATCGTCGCGCTCCTCGTTGTACTCCAGCACGTGCCGCTTGATCTTGGACGAGTCGACCCAGGTGACAAAATCCTCCATGCTGCGGGTGACGAGGAAGGCGGGGTCGGTGACCACCTCGGGGCCCACGCGGATGTGGCCCTGCTCCACGAAGGCCACGGCGGCCTGCAGGTGCTGGGCCATGCGCAGCTTGAGCAGGACGGTGGGCAGGCGGCGGCGGCAGAAGGCGGAGGCGGTGACGGCGTCGCAGAGCTGCAGCGAGCCGCGCGTGGGCACCAGGCCCAGCGCGTACAGCTTGTCCAGCAGCGCGGCCGACGCGCGTGCGCGGAACGGGTCGCGCTCGGGCAGGTCGCGCAGCCGCCGCGCCAGCTCGCGCACCGCGCGGCTCAGCTGGTTGTAGCGCGTGTACTCCTCGCGCCGCTGCAGCCGGTACCGCCGCAGCACGCGCAGCTCGTGCAGGTTGTGGTCGGTCACTTCCCAGTTCAGGAAGTCCACCTGCTTCAGCAGCTTCTGCTCGTGGAACTTGAGCTTCCGCACCATGATGGCGGCGGCGGCGGCGGCCGGAACCAGGAGACGCGAGGCTAAGATCCCGTTCTGAAGCTCGCGTGAGACTTCCGCCTGGCAGCGACCGGACTAGGGATGGGGGCGGTCTCCCCAGACAACTCTGAGCCAATGAAAGAGAGGCTGCTTGTGGCCACGCCCATTCAACTTCCTATTGGTCAAAATTGGACACGCCTCTAATTGGTAGCTCGAGTATTTCTACTTCTGATTGGCGGAGCGAGGCGGATGCCTTGCGACCCGAGGTGAACGCGTGCTGATACGACCGTGCGCGGTTTTCAGTTGCCAAGAATGTTCTTCTAATTGCGTTCATCGTTTCCACTCAGGTTTCTCTGTGTATGTGTGTGTGTACACACACGTCTTGGGGATCGAACTCAGAGCATTAGCATTGTCTCTAGGCATTTTTCACTCAAGGCTGGCGTTCTACCAGTTGAGCCACAGCTCCACTTTGAATCCACTTTGAACTTTTTGGTGGTTCATTGGAGATGAGATTCTCACGGATTTTTCCTGCCTGGGCTGGCTTCGAACCGAGATCCTCAGATCTCAGCCCCCCCCCTGAGTAGCTATAATTACAAGTTCTAACCCTTTGGACTGTGCGCAAGTGAATTAGCCTGATGGATTGGGTTGCTGGCAGCTGTGCGGGGAGTTGCCAAATTATTTAACGCTAGGCTCGTTAACAGCTGTGAGCGTAGCGTTTTCTCAGGCCTTTGACGCCACCTAGCTTTGTCATTGATCATTTTGTACGTTTTCCATTGTCTTAAAACGTATGGTATGTGATATTTGGAAAATATGTATGTACCATAAATTACCTATGATGAATACTCATGAACTGAATAGCTAATTTACGTAGTGCCACCATCATTTCATCTACCTATCCCAACCACTCCTCCCCAGAGAGAAAGATAATTCTGAATTGTGTTGTTTACTGTTTCCTTTTGTTTAGAATAGTATCTTTATACATGAGTCCCTAGATATACTGTAATACTATTTTACTCTCCTTTGGTGGTGCATGCATGAGGCTCCAGATTGAATGCACAGCATTGGAAAAAAGAAGAAAAAGAGAGAGAGGGATCTTGAGATTATCCTCCTGAGTCTTATTCACAAAACACTTTGGGGGTGGAGATCCTGAACATGAGCTTTGAGCTCTTGTTTACCTTTTTCACTTGAGCTTTACTTTGACTATTTGCTGGCTAATTAGAGAATTATTTGCCCAGGCTGACTTCAAACTCGAATCCTCAGATCTCAGCCTCATGAGTACCTACAATTATAGGTGTAAGCTGCTGGCTCCTGTCAAACCTTTTTCCTTCCTTCCTTCCTTCCTTCCTTCCTTCCTTCCTTCCTTCCTTCCTTCCTTCCTTCTTCCTTCCCTCCTTCATTCCTTTTGCCAGTTCTGGGCTTGAACCAGGGCCTGGGCACTGTCCTTCAGCTTCTTTTCCCCAAGGCTACCACTCTACCACTTGAGTCACAGCACCACTTCTGGCTTTTTTTGTTTATGTGGTTCTGAGGAATCAAACCTGGGGCCTCATGGATGCTCAGCAAGCACTGTCCCACTAAGTCATATTCCCAGAACACCCTCCACATTTTTATTAACATCAATTTCTTCCTTCCTACCTTCCTTTCTTTTCTTTCTTTCTTTTATTTATTGATTTGTTCTTTTTGGTCTGGTGGCTCTACCCCTTGAGCCACAGCACCACTTCTGGCTTTTTTCTTTTTTTTTTGGGTCCGGTCGTGGGGCTTGAACTCTGGGCCTGGGCGCTGTCCCTCAGCTATTCAGCTCAAGGCTAGCACTCTACCACTTGAGCCACAGCGCCACTTCCGGCTTTTT